TTAAAAAAGGAATTTATAACGATGGTTTCGGGGACTTTAAGCATTCTCATACGACAAAATGTGGCGAATTAGAAAGTTTGGCACGTTAAGTGCTTCATTTTTTTGTGTCACTAAATTACCAATTAAATTAGACATCTCAATGGTAACAGTTTCATGTTCCTCAATGAAGATGAGTATTTTGAGCTTCCCATCGTATACTTGCTTCTCAAAGGCGTTCGACCGTATTAATCACAAGATACTTATCGAAAAATTAAACATGCTTATATAACTTTGATCAAAATTTAATAGCCCTGATCAGTGATCATGTCTTATGGCGCCGCTTGCAATATGTTTGATATCATAATACGTATCTGCTAAGTCAGGAGTGCCGCAAGGTTCTAATTTTGGCCCATCTCAGAACAGCAGTGGTGAAAATCAATCCTACTTAAATATGAGTACAATCTTCACAGTCTACCGACAGCCAAAATAGATTTTTTCAAGGGCCGGGGATTCATTACTCCCGGAATATATTGTTATAAACAAAAAACGAAGAAAAAATGGGAAAATGTCGTTTCTTTTCGGATTTGATTTCAATTATCTCGTTACTATTGCTTTTAGTGGAAAAATGAAGAGAAATGAATTTGTTTAGAATCGAGATACAGACGGTATTGAACGTTCATTTTCAAACGATATTGTTTTTATGGAAAAATATAAAAAAAAGTAATCCGGAAAATTAACAATCCATTATTACTAAGTGAGATTCATCCGCTCTTTTTGAAAATCCGAATGCGATCACTTCTTTTGATAACGAAACAATATGACAAACCCGGTCACCATATGTTTCATAGTCATTGGTTAATTAAATATACAAAAAAAACGATGCTTTGTCTTTCAAACTGAGTGACACCCAGAGCGTTCTCAATTTTTTTTACACTCGATTACAATCGACCAACTGTGGAATTTAGACGTCAAAAATAGCAAGCACACGTTCTGCTGGCGCGATCGTTTCCATAGAACAGCATTGCCATATGTTCTTAAAGTCATTTTATATCGTGCTCCGCGTCCTATTTGAAATAAGAATGACTAGTGTCATTAAAATGCACGATCATATGTTTCACTTTATCTACCCTTGCAGTTAAAGAGCTGCTTACCCTCCTCATTCAAACCTATTAAAATGTTAATTTAACATATGCTATAAAATAAATAATATTATCAGATGCTAATACAATGCAAAAAATGATACAGACATAGATCTATAAAATATAAAAATATAATGGCGTTTGGATATGTAAAATTCTTGTACCTTTCTTTTAGATGTTCGACTTTTAATCGAATGCAGCAGATTTGAGGTTGGGGGTTAATTGGAAATTAGTACTCACGGAAATGGGGGTAAATATCAGACTAAAATTCAACATTAATCGGCGTCGGAGGTTATTGCTTTTTTTTTAATAATCTTGCTTGACACAATTGTAATTATGGTAATCATTGGCGTTTTGAAAATTCGGGTTCCTGTTTTTGGGGACTAACCTTATACTGACGCAAAGGGTCGGTAGTGCCCTTCTGAAGCAACCGATATGCAAATTTTACCAAAAGTACATTTAATGTCGAAACATTTCTGTAGATTTTATTGGATTCGGGACTCTTGGAAGGAAGATTTGGTAAATTTTCACACGCGACCAAGCTCTGTGTGAAAACCACCCATCACGTAAGATATCACTAATGGTTTATGAACTAAATTTCACGCTTAGAAATATATAATTCATTGATTCCAATTAGATAACATGTTTTATGACCCTAATGATTCAAAAAAATTTACGAGCCAAGGCAATAAAAATCCTTGCTCTGTATGTCATTAGACGGAACAATAAAATGTAGGTATACCTATATACGTGCAACTGTACTTTTATTATAAAGTTTCAAATGAACTGTTTTTTCTAAACCCACCTGCTGCAGCCTTTTCGCAAGTTTCGTCTAATTTTTATTTTGATATTAAAATTTAAGCACGCTTCTTTGATGTTTCAATTTTTTACGTGTGTTAATGAGTTGTAAATCAGGCTAAGTCACTATGCCGTTCTTAGACTGCGTATGAAATGTATGCAACATTAATTGAAAAAACTTTTTCAAACTCACCCGTAAAAGGTAATCTGTTTAGCTAATTATTTTGCTTGTTTTTCGTAATTAATTAATAATACGCTCAACAAAATACTCTACTGGTATTTTCGTTTAACCACCATATATTATCATTAACCGCAATCTTTGCGTGCAGTTTAAGATTAAATCGCAATAAATTTAAAAGTGCAAATAAAGTTGCAGCTTCCAACGCTACAAAGTAGATGTAATTAATTCGACATTAAGCCGTATCTTCTATTTTATACACTTCTGTCTTTATTAGTCTAGTCATCGTATAAAAATGTCGTCACTTAGATTACGTATACAATAAATTAAACGTACATTAAGGCCTTCCAACCTTTAAATGTATCCAAAATTGAGGTGATGCACCTTTTCCACTCATCTATTTCCTCCAACGTGTCGCAGGATAAGTAATACCTTGAAGCTTGCTCTAAGCTCGTATGCTCTAAAGCTAAAGTGTTCGGTCTTAAGCACACGTTGTGGATGTCGATGATAACGCAGTGCCTTAAGTCGATAAAGAGCTTATAACCGTTTAGGGATTCCTCACTGGGATTACTCCAGAAGTGTAGGACGGAATTAAGAAGCCTACACCAATTTTTATCCCACACCAAGTGACCGTTGCTTTCGGCGCCAATCGTTAGAAACCCGCTATGCTTGAGATTCAAAGCCTGACTGAACGCACTCGCTGAAAGATGAACGACACTCAAAGGTGTACCGTCCCCTTTTTTATTCAATGTCAAAACATTTTGGCTGAGGTTATTAATAGTCAGCTCCAACCACCCGCATTTCTTAAAAGCAGGGCGGAT